TGCATATTCCTTGAACTACCTTCCTTTATTTACTTTATCAATGATAAACATTTCTTTAAATAGATGCCATCATTTTTCTTTATCTCAAATAATAAAAAGCTAGAAACTCTTGATTTTGAATCTAATTATAAAGCAATTCAAAAAATGAGACAACCATTTTTCTATATGAATATTCTATTAATATATTGAAAAAAAAATCAGTACTAAGAAATTGACTTGCAGCAAAAGTATTCAATTCAAGATAAAATAATAAATGTTAGTCACGCTCATATTATGCGACATGTTGCATATATATATATACATATCAAAATATTGATTGATAATGTAACTGAACTTTGTAATATATATACTACTTATGTTTAAAAATGCAATATAAGCATGGCCAGATCAAAAAATATTCAATCATTTATTTCTATTATCTTTTCTTTTCTCAACAAAATCAATTATAAATTTTTACTATGTGATGCAATCATTGCATTGTATTGTGTTTTTCTCTTCAATAGAAACTTCTTCAAAAAGAAAACATTCTTAATTTATATTTTAGTATTCAGATCAACGACCAAAACAAAAATCTTTATGCTTTGATTAGTTCCCAAGAGAAGATTTTTCTTTTTCTTAAATTATTACAACCTTCAATTGATCAATTGTTTCGATATTGGTTTCATATTCTGATTATATATCTGAATAGATACGAAATAAATATGCACATCGATCATTCATTCTTTCATTTAACGTTATGTATATATTTCATAACAAATGGTGAACGGCTGTGTGTATGCGTAATTTTCAAGGATATATTGGGCATTCATAAGAAAATGAAGAACAAGAAGAATAAGAAATAAGATGATGAAGAAGGAGCAGCCGGCATACTATCATCGGTCGAGTTTTGAATAATAATAGGATGACTTTATTGTTACATCGTTCCCGTCATTCTAGCAATTGAGTTCTTTCTTCTTTCTCCCTCTACTCTTCTCGTGATAGTACACTCAAACATGGTGGAAAGAGAGAGAGAGAGAGAGAAACAGCGACAGAGAAAAATAAATGAATTGATTTGAAGGCTATCTAAATGCCTTCTTCTTTTCGTTGATCATATACAAACTAGTGTAATGATTGTGAATTACACACGCAAAGTCACTTAATTTTTCTCTTAGCTTAAGCTTTTTCATCTTTTTTTTTTAAATGACGAGCTACACATTCTCAATTATTCTCTCTCTTCCTATCATGTTCAATATCCGCTCTCATCTCATCCGTGTATTTGCATAGTGTATATTCATATGTTTGTTTGTTCGATCGTTGTTTAAATTCGCTTTTGTTCTCTTTTTGGCCGTGACTTGTTCTTTCACGATGTCATCGCTGTCGAATGTAATAATGAACAAAGCATGATGGGAGTGAAAAAAAAGAGAGAAAGCATAACCGATACAATAGTATAACCACCATCAACCATGTAAAAATGATGTATATTATGCTTTTCTTTTTTTTCTCATTTAATTTTTATCAAGCCTATTTTTCTAACACCACTCATCCATTCTTCGATAGATGGTAAGTTGAATAAGTCATTACTTGTAGACTACTACCACGTCTAAAACATGTTCGTTGACTGATGTAAATAACATTAATAATATTGAGTGTGGTAATGGTCATAAAAAGAGACGTATGTTCATTGCCTTGAGACAGCTAAAACGGTTGATGATGGCATTAATGATATGAACACAAAAAATGAAAGAGAACATCGACGAGTCATCCCGTTGATACATATGTATACATACAGATGACAATTATGACTTTTGGGCTTTTTTTTTCATTATCAATGTATGAGAAAAGGGAGGAGTACATGGAAAAAAAGAGACCTTGTTCATAATTTTTCGTGATATGGAGCTTTATCTATTACCCTGATCAATGAACAGCAATCAAAAAATGCATAACTAATAGGTTGTTTGAATTACCAAGCATCTTCTTTTCTGTCGCCATCATCGTCATCATCATCATCATCATTACTCGTTCTTTATCTCAAAGAATTCCGATCGGTCAGTTAACACAAAGGATACATCAAATAGATAAAGAATCACTCGTCTCCTATAGACTTCTTTTTTTAAATGTAGTTCTTTTTGCTGCAGTTTTGTTATATAATACATTGTAATTTGTGCGGAAGGAAGGCAACCGTCGTTGATGCATAGCAAACAAAAAACGTTTCTTCTTTTCTCTCATTCTCTCTCTTCATTGTAAGTTGATCCTTAATTTGAACGGCTACAAGGGACTGTGTTGGTCAGTTAAACGGCATCTATTCTCATGAGTAAAATTCTCTCTCACTTCCGTTCTGTTGTTGCATGGATATTCGACATAGTTCGACAGATGCTGAACAGCTGATGATACCCTACCGTTTTTTTTCATTTCGGGTAACGCCTTCACTTAGATCATCTTCAGTATATATCTATAGAATTCCATTATGTTCACTCATTTTAGCAAGAAAAACTAAATGAGTTGTGATGAAACTAACAACACCATGTTCGTGTATATGCGATAACGACGATAATAGAGCGCGAATTGACAACGTGAGATGCATCGGCACATTAATCGAATTGGCCGCCACACACGTCCTCCTCTTTTATTCGCCTTGGAGCACGCAATCGATAATTGGCGTCGAAACAGGATGTAACCCCCGCAGGGTTCGTTCAATGTTTGAAGACGATTAGACATAGAACAAGAGAGACTGAGAGAGTGAGAGTGAGAGTTTTTATAGTATTGTTTCTCTTCTCGTTTATTATTATAGCACGGTGCATTAGCACCTGTTGTCAATTGATTCATTCTATTTGTGATCTTTTGACTTGAACGTAAGGATGGATCAGTACACATATTTCTTTTTTTTTTTGTAAACTATTTTATCAGTCGGACAATCAGAATTAGGGAGGAGGATAAACTAAATCCATTTTTATTCACATCAAACAGAATTGTAGATGTGGGCTGGTCAGTTACTTGTTCGAAATATATCAATGTTGTTATTGTTGTACTTAAGAAAGGGAGAGAGAGACTCTATTTATCATTTAATCTGGCTCTAACTCAGAGACACTGTTGAGCCTCTTTAGTCGTCGTCTCTTTTACATATATATGCACACACACGTATATATATATATATATATACATACACGTAAACTTACTACAGCGTGTAAGAGAGAAATGAGAAGAATAATGATAGATATACGCGCAATATGTAGGCGATTTTGTCTCTCCTTTTCTTTTTGTTCTTTCGTTTTTTTCTCTTCATTGAACACACACTCACATACGCATACACATATTTGTGAGACAATAAAGTTTACGTTAATCGATCGAGTTTTTATAGATTGTAAGTAGTTTTTCATTTGATTTTTTTGTTATGATCATCATTATTATTATCATCGTGAAGTTTTTATATAGATCAACAATTATATATCTTTCACATACCATAGAGTAGTAAAAGTAGTAATAGAAAAATAAGTAGAAGAATAATAGTGAAGAGAAAAAAAAGGAAAGAAGAACGTTCAGAAGACATACTCAATCTTTCTCTAGGTTTCTTTTTTTATATATGTGTTTGCGTTGATGACAAAAAAATGGAGAGGCTCTTTTCATCGGTTCCACCCAACAACTTAGAAAAAATAGATAAAGATACAACCATGGCCGACAGATAATTGACAGAGAAAGAGTGAACGAAAGAAAGAATGATACATTCTTAGTATAGATTTGTCAAATATGTTATTGCTGTTTTCTTTCGATGATCAATCTGTTAATACTACTATCATAACACAAACACAATTCGTGGTAAACACATTTGCTGTAATGGTGAAACTAACAAAACAAAACAAAAATATATCTCTATATTTTTTATTTCGTTTGTTCTTTTTTTTTTTTGTTTTATATATCTGTATCAATATTAAGAAATAGAAATGCAAAGTTTACCGAAAATGATTACTAAATTATAATAAGTCAAAAGACAATAAACAACTAAAATTCAAACTATGCAATACAATCACATTGTATTCATATTGGTACTTATTTTTGTCATGTATGGTCAAAGTTTACAGGTAAGCATAGATAGATAACTCAATTTTTATATGTGACAAGTTCATTTATGTGTGATGATAGGGAGGAGTCCATAGTTGGTTGCTCTTCTCTCAATAATGAACACTATCTTTTCTTATTTTTTTTTTTGTTATTTCATGGGTATAGACACATATTGAGAAGACATGTATACAATTATTTGTCATTGTATTATATGTGCAATATATTATTTGTTGCTGATCATAACAGACGGTACCTGATAGTTTTCGTACTCAATATCTGTTTGTCAACTATAAAAGATTACATTTTCTTTGGTCTTTCCAAGTAAGAAAATGGGCATATGTGCTACATTTCTACTTTATTTAAATAATGGTCACTTCCAATCTGTCCGTTAAATGCTTAAGGCAAAGAAAGTATTAACTACACCACCAATATGAAATGTTGTCTAATGTTCTTTTATCAATGAATAACAATATGAAAAATTGATTGTTATTATTCTCTCTTTAACAATATAATAAAAAAACAAACCGATACATTTTTTTTTCTCTAATGTCAAGCATACATTTATGCACATATATATACGCATATAGAGTTAATCACCTTACCAGTAGTATACATTGATATTTGTAACTCATACTATCGATAATTATGATGAACAAAAGAAAAAAACGAAAAAGAAAAAGTAATTCAGACATCTAAAGTAACCACTCGACCACAATGACAGCAACACCACCCACCAACCATGCATAATAATAATTATATCAGTTATATTCCCTATAGGCTTTCATTTTTTTTTGAATCAAATATAATAAGAATAAAATTCAATTAAATAACGAACAATGAAAATATTTCTTTTTTTTTTTAATGTTTAGTTTTGTCAAAAACTTCCTAAACATTTGATTATTAATGCTATTGGCAATAATATAACAAGGTCTAATAAAAATCAATGTTTTATAATTGGACATTGTCATATGACAATAATTACAACTAATCAATATCATATCATTAAGTTTGATATTGATCAATTCATATTCTCATCAATAAATAAACTTTTAATTGATCATAATCAAAAGAATTTATCTTTAATATTTTCATCAATATTAAATAATAGAATAATAAATACAACAGAAATATTAACAAATAATTGTTATACAAATAAAAAATTGATTAAACGTAATACAAAAGAGCAATATCGAGTCGGTAAGATTTATTATTTATATACATACACATACATATATATTCTAGTGATTGATACTATTTATTTTTCCGTTAGATTCAACGTCATCAATAGTAATTACATTTAATTCATCATCATTTATTGATTATCATTGTCAAGAATTACTTGATTATCCATTACGTTTATCTTTGCGATTTCGTACATTAGGTCGAATATCAAATGGTGTACTTCTTTCATTAACACAACGTAAATCTGCATCATTAATAATTCCATTCTTTATCATTGAACATTCAAATGGAAAAATTGAAATAACTGTTCTTCAATTAGATGAAAAAAAAGTATTATCAACGGTCACTGTAAGTTGAACACCTGAAAGCTATTGTTTATCTTAGAAAAGAATAATAACAATAATAATAATATGTTGATCCGTCTTTCTCATCTTGAAACATTTCCGCCCGTGAAACATTGTTAATCTCTTTTCTCATTAACTTCAATGTTCTACTCCTTTACGCATCAACTAACAGGATCATTCAATGATGATTTACATTTTCTATCCTTGTTCGTGCTCTTCATTTTTCCATATTTCTATCTTGATTAGCAATTCATCTAACACCAGATTCGGAACAGCGACAACCTAGAATGAGACGCAGAAGAAAAAAACGAAGCACAATAATAATGATATTTCTCATTGTAAGGATGGGTGAACGAGCTTATGAACGAACAAAAAGAAAGAAAAAGAATGAAGTGTTATTTTTTCCTGTTCACTCAAGGTCATTCATGTATATCTTAAATAAAAACTAAATGAAGAAAAATTGAATTGTGTGCAATATCAATAGCCGGATATTTTTATATTCATATCTATTTTGTTTTGTATAAAAAAAAATAACACAAAAAGAATCTAAACTTTTCCTAGAATATTCAATGTGGAAAAAATATAAATAATGATAATTGGCATTGGCTACAACTTGAATTAGATCGAAATGGAATATTCACACTTGTTGTTGATGATGATAGTCGAACATGTAAATAAAGCAAAAAAGATTTCAAATGAAATTGAGTTTTTCTTTTTTAAATTCATGTTTTTCTTTTGGTTTTCCTCATAGCTCAAATTCCAAGTTATGTTGTAGCTAGTTGGAATCTCAATGCTGTATTAGTTGGTGATACACGTCGTTTAAGTTCTGATATATTTCAACCATTTGTTGGTTATATGAGTGATCTTATATTTAATGATGAATATTTATTTGAAAGTTTAACAAAATCTCAAGAACAAATCATATCAAATTTTTATTATTATAGTCAACATATTATAATTGGTTATCGTATAGCATTTTTTAATTTAGTTACAATTCATACACAAAAATCTTATATAGCTTTTTCTGAACGTGAAAATCAAAATAAAAATCATGGAAAACTTGATATTTATTTTTTATTTCGCTCATATGTACCCGATGGAATTATTCTATATCGTTATGCACAAGGTTTAAATGAATATTTTGCTATTGGTTTAAGAGCTGGTATACTTGCATTATTTATTGATTTTGGTTTTGGTAAACGACAAATAGTTAGTGATGAATCAACAAAATTAGCTGATGGAAAATGGCATGAAGTACGTGTAACAAGAATTGGAATTGATAAGTACGTTAAAATAATCTTTCGAACGTTCGATGATTTTCTTTTTCCGGATATTAAATATGTAAATTGAAGTACATATTTAGATAAAATTATTCTATGAATCTCATATATAAGTACTTTTCATTTACATATTTTCTTACAGACAAAATCTTATGATCAATCTTTAGACATAAGATCTAATTCGAACTATTTCTTTTTTATAATTAATTAGAGTTATTACTTGAATGCATGTCATATTTTTGATCGATGTTGAATGGAAATAATCTCGTAGAATTAAAAAAAAAGAAAGATTGATTGATAAATAGAAGAGTTCTTTGTCTTACTTGAAGAAAAACTAGCAAGCTCAAATATAGAGTTATTTTCATTAGAAGTGCAAAGAAAAAAGATTTAAATTAGTTTTGAGTGTAAATTTTGTTCCAAGTTAATATGATTTAGAAATTTTCTTGTTTGATTCAAGATAATGAGCGAAAGAAAAATGGGATCTTGTTAGAATTTCTATAAATTTTTACGGATTTTTTAGAAAGTGAAAATGATGAATGTAAGATGGATTCTTTTTTTTTATGTATAGGATTGAATTAATTGTTGATAATCGTGTAAATCGTTCTACGTTATCAGCAAATGGTATACGAAATGCTGTTTCTCTTCAACCAGTTCTTTATGTTGGTGGAATACCAAATAATAATAATATCAATTTAACTGGATCAGGTCTTAATGCATATGGATTTCAAGGATGTTTAGCAAGTTTTATTGTTGATGGTCGTTTACTTGATTATCAACGTGCATTAGTACTTAATGGACAAGTGAAAATGAATGTTTGTTCAGGTAAATTTAGTTGAATTCATTTTCTTAGTTTTATTAGAAGAAAAAAAAATATCTCGAATATATTTAAAACTCTACATATGAATTGATTGAATAGAAAGAATAAATAAACTTTTCCTAGCAGATTCTTCGAACACATCAACAAATAATACTGATGGTAAGCTATTGTTTGCTCATTTAGGTAGTATGTTCTTTTCCCCTATTTGCTTTTGTATTTTGTCATGAAATGGCCTCCTACTTCTTCTTCTTCTACCATGTTTGTTTTATAGTTATTGAATTTTCGCTTTTTATTCAATTGTATAGAAATATAACAGAAGGAAAACTATTATTGATATATTTTTATATATAGATTTAAATAAACTTTGTTATGATTTTACATGTATTCATTCTGGTGTATGTTTAACAAATGAAAAAGATGAACCAAGTTGTGATTGTATTGAAACAAGTTATATAGGTGAACGATGTGATAAATGTAAGTTGATAATTTTTTTGGTTTTTAAATAGTTATTTGAAATTTATTATGTATTTAATTCATTAGTACCAAAAGGATTTTATTTTGGTAAACATCATTCAATTGGTTCAATCGAATATATCATACCAAAATTACATCAAACAGACAATGATATAATATCATTTGGTTTACAAACATTATCAATGTCAGCACAAATATTTCGTCTTGAATCTGATTCAAATTCATTTAATCTTGAATATGAAATTGTAAGTTTTAATTTTTTTTCTTTCTTTCTAATGTTTATTCTATCGTTGAAAATATCTAGGTACGAGAACGATCATATATTAAATTAAATATGGGTACAAAACAACCTGATGTTTATTCAGGTGTTGCTCATGTTACTGATGGAATATATCATGCTATTAAAATAATTCGACGACTTTCAACAGTTGAATTATATGTTGATGGAATTCGAATTAAATTAGAAGGAGGAAATAGTATGATTATGATAAATATAAATATTATAAAGAGATGCAAAAATTCATTTGTTTAGAATATTCACGTCAATTAGAACTACAAACATTGCTTAAACAAAGACGTTTACGTATTGGAAGTTTTAAAAATGTTTCACATTGGAACGGAATTGTAGCTGGTATGTTTAATAAAATCAAAGAAAATTTTGTCATAAAAACACATGATGATTTCGTCAATAATTATTACTGTTATTTATTAGACAAATAAGAGAGGTGCATGAGAAATTAAATCGACCCATTAGTCCTTTTTTTGGCTAATTCTGTGGAATCATACATAGATAAAAAGAGCATGTTGAAACTAACATTTTTGTACTCTATAAGAAAACTGTATTAACTGAACCTTTTATAGTTCTAGATTGGGGTATCATTTTCTGAACTGTAACTTCCTTTCGTAGACATCTTTTAAAAAGTTAGTAAGACTGCCCCTAGATAGCTCCTGAAGAGTTCTAAGAACAACCCTGTCATAGCCCTTGAAAACTTGTAAATATCTTATTCATCTTGGTGCTATAAGCTCTCATTAGGGAACGTTTTGAACAATTCATTAGATTGAAACGTTTACTGAACTGTTATACCTCTACTATCGCCGACTTTTTATTATTATAGGATAAATAAAACCATTCCAGATTTGTCTTAATCTAGTCACGCTCACAAAATGATCTACCTTAGTTTAAACGACATGCGCTAAAACTATCCCCATAAATGGAGTTCAACATAAAAAAAGTGGTACGAAATAGAAGTTTTTTAAATACCTGAAACCATAGTTTATCTGACATATTTCTTTCAATTATCTAGAGTCTTTGATAATTTATTAATAAACAAATGAAACCTTTGAAAGTTCGACATCTTCGCTAAAACCATAGTTCTCGATGACATTGTTCCTTTTCAGAGAGTACCAGTTTTATGAGATTTTGATTAAGTTTTGAAACTTCAAAGCTATCAGCAAAGTAATGGATTTTGAATCGTCATTCTAATAATCCATGCTATGATGATGGACTCAATTTGAGAATAAATAGACAAGACAAAACATTACTGAAATTATGAAATTCACATCTCTTTGATGATATTTTAATTCTATTTATAAATCACCAATTCAACATTTAATTTTACAAGATATAGATACGATGTACTAGTAGAGAATTTTAGCATATTTTACTTTACTTATCCTAAACTCTTATCACTCATAAAATACATCGGATAGTCAAAATGTTCGTGCACTTTGAAATATTTATAGAATACAAACATTTTACTAGCCTGTTAATAGTAAATGTTCGAAATAGACCCATGATGTTCAATACAAAGTTTCATCCATGGTAGATGACCTCTAAGTTTGATTTCTTTTGTTCTTCTTGATGATAATTAAAAGCAATAAAATTGATATGTGATTTTGTGCTATATCATCATGCAACTTGATGCCATGCATTTGTTGATGATGATATTTTTTATGTAAATTTTTGACTAATATTTTTAAATATGCATCACGATAATATATGACATTTATTGATGTCCCACGAAATAATTCATGAATAAGTAATGGTTCTTTTGCCATGAAAAAAATTACAAATATTTTTTTTTTCATCGAATGTTTGTCTTCTTGCTATTGCTTAGGGACCTTCGTCTTTTGCTGTACATGCTTTAAATTGCTCTGTTAATTTAATATTGGGATGATAAATCCAAGTTTCATCTCTCGTAGCTATATCGTATAGTTCCTAGGTCCCTATAAATTTTCAACACAAATATCGATATATCGTTGTCATTGTCCTTGAGTGAGCTCATGAGATAGCCATTTGGAAGATATTTTTCGAAAGTCACGTTGTTACTTGAGAATAGTCTCTACAGTACTATGTGACATGTCTAAAATATTATCAAGATAATCAATACTAAGATCTGGATCATCATTTACCAGATCTTTAAAAGCATCGATATTTTCTTGTGAAATGACAGTTATTGAGCGAACATTTTCGGGATTATCTTTGAACGGCTAGAGTAGGCCAACGTCGTTAATGAAAACAATTAGGATGAAATTTTAGACTAGTACAATGAGAACGTTTCGTTCCCTAGCAAAGTATTTTTCATATTCAGCTCTGTGTCGTTTTGAGCAATATTTTGAAGGTTTTGATAAGAATAAATTCAACTTGGGTCAAAATTAGCATGATATTTGGAATAAGCATAAAAAACTAAGTTGTTCTATATGCGATTGGGATAATTTCTAAAACTTTTTTCGTTGAAAAAGTCACCCGTAGTCCTCCTCAAGAATAATGCGAAAAATGAATTCTTTAAAAACCCTGCTGGTATTTCCTAGATAGCTGCTACTTTGTTATCTTGTAACTTTAAACTAATCTCGACTTTTCGTTATTATGTTCAAATAGTGTTTTCAAGCAAATTATCTTTCGTGTTTTCATTGAGAGAAATCAGAGTAAAATTTTCGACGAAAAAGAAGTTGTAAAAATTCTATAAATCACATGAGAACAATTTGGATTTTTATGCTGATTTCGAATATCATGTTAGTTTTGACTCAAATTGAAGTTTTTCTGATTGAAATCTTTTAAATATTGATCAAAAAGACACAACCCTAAGTCCAGAAAATAGTGTGTTAGAGAATTTATAAAATTTATATATGGGATCGAAGCCTCATCAGAAAGCTATGTGATTCATAATTTCAGTAGTGTTTTTGTCTTGTTTCTTTATTATCCCATTAACTCAATCAGCATAATATGAATTATTAGAATGAAGACCAATAGTACGTTACCCTGTTGTTTTAAAACTACAATCAAAGCCTCATGAAACTAGTACGAAAATGTTACTTTCAACATGCTGTTTTTGTTGATATACGATTCAGTGAAATCGCCCAAGAAAATTACTAGTGATTCGATTTGATTTCTTTCGCGTCCTCCTCTTTTCAATCTTATTAATCTCAGCCATTCATTGAGATTGTTCATCAAACAGAATAAACAAAAATTAAATTATATGATATTTTCTCAAATGAAAATCTTCTAAAGACACGCATAAATAAAGTCATTTTTTTGTCAGAAACATCTAAATTGAGATGATTGCCCGAGGTTTGATCTTTTATTTCTGTTTTTTATTTTGTCACTTTGTTCTTTGTCAAATTGTTTCATTATTTCCGTTACCTTCTGCTTGATAAACATGCTATTTCTAGATAAAAGTAGAAAACCTTTGTCTCTGTGTATGCTTTTTGGATCACAAATCCGAGAGTTTTCGAATGAGTCAATTGCTTTTTATTTTACTTGAAAGAACCTGTCAAGCTTCAATGCTCATTTTTTGAATTAAACTTCTTTTTTATTGAAATATAAAACGAGCATTTCTGTAAATAGATGACCATTGTTTTGAAGCTTTTCGGATTATTAAACCGGCCAGGCTTTTTCTTCACATGTAAGATTCAAATTAAAAAAGAGGGCATTGCAATCTGACATGCTCTTCCGAATGAAAAAGTTAATTAATAGAATAAAAACCAGTAAAGAATTTTTGGGTTTGTTTGATGAGCGATTTTTGACATTTTTTTTTTTTGAATACGATAGGATTGAAAATTTTAGTCTAGCCTTTCCATTACAGCTCTCAAAATTATTGGTCAAAGACCGATTTTTTGAAGAGAGAAGCACCTTAAGTTTAATTAAGATCTAATAAATTTAATTTGTCTTTTAGGTTTATCATTCAATCGTCAACCGATTTTCGATAGTCTTGCTAGTACTCTTAATTATTCTGGTGACGTTGAAGAAGTTTATCCAGACAAGCATACTGGTTTATTTAGTTTAATTGATTCATTTTATACTGCTACTGCTATAATATCTTCAACAACGATATCTACTCTTTCAATGATTAATGATACAGTTGAAACATCTACTACTTATATAACAATTCCAACAACAAGTCTTCCAATTCTGGATAATTTATATCATCAAGAACATGTAACAGAAATAAATTTAATACGAGAAGTATCTTATCAAGCACCACTGGAATGGTTTTATAAGCAATTAAAATATATTGGTGTTCGTGGTCTTTTAATAGGTTCTTTCATATCAATTTTTCTTCTCTTTTCTCTTTTATTTTTAATAATATATTTATATTGTAAAACACGTCATTCAAAAAAAAAACTTTCCTATCATTATAAACAAACAAATGGAAATAAAAATTATTCTCAAATAAAACGTTATTCAACTACATTACCTGATGGTCGTCATTCAAAAAAACGTGTACCAAAACTTCTTCGTTATTTACATACAAATCAAACAAAACCAATATCCTTTCGTTTAGCATCTAATGGTAGCATGTCACGTTTAAATAGTGGTGATAGTTATCATCTTATATCATCCATACAAGAAAATCGTAAAGATAAAAGAACTTCATCTTATAAAAATTCTGATTGTATTACAAGTGATCATTGTTGTCTACATTCAACTTTATCACAACCAATTCCAGCATCATCATCTATTTATCATCAAGTTAATCGTTTAATGATATCTGGTAGTGAACCACCATTACCATTATCAAATCTAACAACACATCGTCATCCTACTCCAACTTCAACATTACGTTCAGTCAAAAAAGATATCGATAATTCAAGTGCACAAACATATTCAGCTGTTTACTCATGTGACTTAGCAGCTAATTTAGATATTGATCAAGAACTTTTTCCACAATATAGATCATTGATGAGAAAAAGATCGCTTATAAAAACAAATAATCCAATTTTAGTACAAAGTCAAATTTTATTTCTTTATATAAAGAATCTTGTTGATTGTTATGCATTACAACCAAATAATCATTCAACAGTTCTTCTTGCTACAGGAGATGAAAATAGAATTCAATTATCGCATGCTCACGTAAGTTACTCATAGAATAAACCGAAAACGACTATCTGTAACATAATATATTCAGATAAATTCTTTTTTTCTTTTCATTCATCTTCTTTCTGAATTATTCAAATATGTTACACTATTAGCTTCAGTTCATGCAATATTGCTTATCTGAATACATAATAAGAAGTGAAAATAATATTCTATTCTATCAAGAAAAACTTCGAAAAATCATTTAACCTGCTTTTTATGTAAAAATGAATAAATTACGATTATTAAGTTTAATGGAAATTCGTTTATATATATATAAATTGTTTTTAATTATTCTAGTCTGGTAATTTTCATTCTCAACTTCCTGTATCCTCTGTCGGTGCTTGTCATAGTATCTTATTTTCTTTTAATGGACAATTTCTAATTGGACTTTTTTATGAAGTAACATCAAATGTAAATCCATATGCTGTTAAAATTTGGTCGACAGATGATTATTCCATTCGTACTAATTTACATCCAATAAAATGTTCTATAGCAATAACATCTCAACATTCATCTATACTTTATATGGCTGGTAAACAAAAATATGGCCGAGGTATATCACTTGGCCTACTTGATATTGATTCATGTAGTCTTGCACGTGAGCTTAAATCTGATCCGGATACAACTATTGGTGATGAAATTAAACGAATTATATTAACAAAAAATGAATCTTATGCACTTGTTGCGTGTACAGAATATTCAAGTACATTTGCATGTTTTGTTGTATTTAAATTAGAAGCAAATACAATTATTAATGATGAATCATCATCATCATCATTAGTAACAGGTTCCATGAGTAATTGTACAATGATATTAACAAGATTTGATTGTAATCCAAATTTTACATTTTCAATTGTTGATACAAATAATAATGGTGATCAATATATGTTAACTATATTACGTACAAATGAAATTATTATTTGGCAATTAAATGATGGAGAAATTTTATCTAACTATAATTTTAATTATTTATTTAATGATAATGATATACATCAAATAGATGACTGTCAAATGAATGATAATCGTCTATTAATACTTGTTCAACAAGGTTTAATTTATATTTGGGATATAAAGATACCTATAGGACAATTTTTATTTATTGCTAATATTTGTGATCCATTGGTAAGTTTAATAAAATTTTATAGATGTTGTCGAATAGATAAGACGACAAAATAATTACCGCGACATATGTAGGATTGTTCCACTTTTAGAAATCTTGCGGTTAATTAATATGCCATGTGTAAGCTCAATAATAGTAGTCATAAAATTGAGCTCCAATTCTATAAAAATATTTTCGCATGTTTTAACAATGAAGGTCATCAAGTGTGGTAACATGACCTAAAGAAAAGAATAATAAACCTGTTTCATTCAATAGAAATGTTTATTGCATTTGTGATATAAAAAAATATCAGTATAAAATTCCCATAAGAGACTAATGAAACTTATCTTATTTTATTTTATTTTTTTAATATAATTTAGATTCATTCGATTACTTGGCTTGATCATCGACATTTTCTTTCAATTGATCATGATGGTCAACGAATACGTACATGGAATATAAATCGAAAAGAAGTTCTCAATGAATCATTATCACTTCAAGGTACAATACAATCGTTACATGTACATTCAATATATAATAATTTAAATAATCGAAACGAATATTTTATTGCTGGAGTATCAATGAACGAACGTAGTTTAGTGATCTTCGAATATAATCAATCTAATGATAATCATACTGACTCATCTAATAATATTATTGTTGATTAACCATGAAAAACGAGAAGAAAAAAAAACCTATATTTTACATTTTTTGATTTTAATTTTCGATTTTATTTGCCAAATATTTCTGTGTGTAAAGACTTATGTCACACGAGTTGACATTAGATCAGATACAAATTCATTTTGTTTTATGCGTTTTGTGTTTTTCTTTTTTTTTTCTATTTTTTTTTATGAAACTTATCCATTTAAAATGAAATAAAAGACATATTGACTTCGTATAAGAATAAATTAAATAAGAAAAAAATTCAAATATGTTTATTATAAAACTCACATATAGTTCAATCGTCATCTAAACCATTTTTCTAGTTGAAAAAAATTTCCTATTGTTATCTGGATTATTTATTCGAAAATCTCCACAATACAACTAGATTAACGGGTGATGCAAAAGTTCTTGCACAAATGTCTCTTCACTTTTCATATGCTAAAACAGATTTTGCAAAAAATGAAAAATAGCTAGTCAGAATCGGCGTCAAAAGAGCTTTCTGATCGTGTATTCAAAAACCTTTCTATCATGTATTAGCTTGAAGTAATGAACAGATATTCGAACAGCATTAAAACATAGTCTATCAAAACAGTTCGAATTTGTTGTTGAAAACTATAGGTCTCATAGTATTTTTTTTGATTTTCTCCTATTCGTTTCATTGTATTTGATTGATCTTGTTTTCATTAGATTCTCCGTTTAACTCTCTACGAACTGGACAAAAACATTACGACATCATTTTAGAAAACATATTGAAAAAGTTGACTACGAGAGCTCTGCTTAATTTTCAGAGAAACGTGCGTTTTGTTTCGTTGAACATTTCTTCTACCTTCTCGATGTTCATGTATGTTGTCACTGTGTGTATCGATGTAAGGACTTCAATATATTTGCATTGTCAATATCGTGAATCACTTCTAGACGCCATTTGGTTTGTTTAATAAAACGGCGCCGTTCATATCTCGAAAAACTTTCATCAGCGCCGTCACTATTGTCACACTCAATTTTTACGATATTTCCTAGACATATTTTTTCAATGTTTTCTAAAATAATGTCGTAATGTTTCTGTCCAGTTCGTAGAGAATTAAATGGAGAATCTAATGAAAATAAGATCAATCAAATACAATGAAACGAATAGGAGAAAATCAAAAAATACTATGAGACCTATAGTTTTCTACGGCAAATTCGAACTGTTTTGACAGACTATATTTTAATGCTGTGCGAATATCTGTTCATTACTTCAAGCTGATACACGATAGAAAGGTTTTTGAACACACAATTAGAAAGCTCTTTTGACGCCGATTCTGACTAGTTTTTTTTTATTTTTCCAAAATCTGTTTTAGCATGTGAAAAATGAAGATATATTTGTGCAAGAACTTTTGCATCACCCATTATACATGCATGATGAAAACACTGTAGAACAAACAGTTGATACCTTATTTTTACAATAGGGTTTTTTTTCTACTATTTAGCTAATAAAGATAAGTGTTTTTTTCTTTCTGTTAACTATTTGGCTACCATCAAAACAAAATTTACTCGGTCTTAGTAACATTAAATATAATTGGTATCAAAAATCTACAGTAAGAACATCTTACACATTTCTATTTTACGCTGATCTTTATGTAATAACATTTCCTATGGTTATTTTTAAAAAAGCTCGTCATCATAATTTCTTTTCACAATAATCTCATTGTAATGGAATAGTTACGTATTATTTCATTATTTCAAATAGTAGTATTCGTCAGTGCATGATATTGAAAGAGTCGGATTGCTCTTGAAATAGACCAAAAATAAATTATTTCTAACGGGAAGAAAAAGAATTAATTAATTTTTTTCTATTTCCGTATAATCCGTTCATTTATATAAAAATTTTATGAAATAGTTTTTTTTCCCAACGTAAATGCTTTTAGTGTATATACATTTAATGTATTATCTTATGCATAGATTTCATAAAACTTTGAATGACAAGTGAATTCAATTAAAAGCATATTACTTGAATGATTGTTGAACTTTTTCTTTTTTTGCTGTACTTTCAGTTTGAGTTATTTAAAATAAAGAATTTATTTTTCTTGAGTAGTTTTTTTTTCTTCTTCTTCTTCGCCTGATCATTTCTTCCATACTGATCGTCCGTACATTTTTTCCTCGTTACAATCAATAAAATATTTTCCCTTGATTCGATCGATCATAGAATACATAATTGTGAAAAAAGAAAGACACAAAATAGAATAAGACCAAAATACCATCAACGTGCAAACGTTTTCCTATCATTGTAATAACTCACCTCAATCATCATGTCTCAGTGTACGACACATTTTGTATTCCTCAATCCATTCATTTTTTTTATTAATATTTTTCTTTCGTGTATCTTATTATGTCGATATGTTTTGTTCTTTGCTTATGTGCACAAGTAATTCGTTTGCTTGTAATCGTCATCTTTTATTGAAATGATAATAGTAGCTATGCTACAAGAATTGTTGCTGTTTTTTTTCCTCTCGTTCCTGATTAATACTAATATAATCATAAAAATGAAAGAGAAAAAGAGAGAAAAAAACAAAAAAAAAGAGCAGAGACGATGATTGGAAGTGGAAAAGAAAGCTGTATCAAGAAGATATATATTTTTATGTTTAACTTTCTTCTTATTTGTAGTTTTGATTCATTAATCAATGACTTCACTTGAATATTTTGATTTTGATTTACTTAATAATAGCGATTATGAAAATATATCTTCAACAATAAATTTAACAAGTAATATTATTTCATCGGATACAAATGAATTAAATTGGCCTATATTAACTTTATCAATATTAGTTGTAACTGGTACACTTGGTAATTTACTTGTATGTATATCAATAACACTTGATAAACAATTACAAACAGTGACAAACTGGTTCCTTTTTTCATTAGCTGTTGCTGATTGTTTAGTTAGTCTTATTGTTTTACCACTTTCAATTATTAAAGATTTCCAAGGTAAGAATTTAAAAGACAATCTTTATTTGAAAGAATCAAAATTGTGCTATATCTCATATATCAAATAGATATAACTATGTCGCTATTAATTGCATTTTAAAAACACAAATAAGAAGACCACTTGAGATCAAGTTTTTCTCGTTATTTGAATAATCAATTTTGCATAGATGATAGATCAATACATGACAGTTCTTTATTTTTAATGTCGAGTTTACATCAAAACAAATATAATTAAAATGTCGGATAAAGTCTAAACAGTTAAAAGTTCATTATAGCTGAAAACATGAAAGCTCTTCAATAAGAAATGTCATCTTAAAACATATTACTCTGCATTAATTTACACTAAGAACTTTTGACACGTCTTTTAACTGAATTAATAAAAGGATCTTTTTTTCTGTAGAATTCTACAGTGAGTATCTTATTGAATAATTCTTTGATTTTAATTATAGAAAAATATGTACGTATATAATGTTTTTCTTTTAATGCAATTTTATCATGCGCAAAAAGTTTTCTCAAGAGATTTGCTTCAATAAAATTTTTTTCTTTACTTTAATTATTGGTACTTTTGAAATAAATAACAGAATTGTTTGAGCATACTTCAATATAATAAAAGAAAAACCATGTCAATCGTATGAATAGGCTTTAGTTAAGATAATCTTCTTAAGTTTTGTTCTTTATTTTTCATCACCTAAACTCTTTAACATTTGTTGTCATGTATTTTGAAAAATCATCCTTGTTGTTTTTAATACTTTACATTTAGGTTCGTGGCAATTACCAATCATATTTTGTAATTTATTTGTTTTTTTCGATGTTCTTTTATGTACAACATCAATATGGCATTTAACAATTCTTTCAATCGATCGTTTTCTTCGTATATCTCGCCCATTTCATAGTCGAAAACGAAGTAAATGTAAAACATTTTTAGTAATATTTTTCATTTGGACATTTTCTATTGCAATATCATGTATTATATTTATTCTTGGTTGCATTGATGACAAAAATATATTAATTATAGTAAATGAACATCGACGTCATTGTGCACTTAATAATCGTTCATTTATTATTTATGGTTCAGTCATGTGTTTTTGTATACCGTGTATACTTATGCTTGTTACATATTCATTAACAATTCGACGTTTACAATTAGAAGCAGCTAAATGTTATACAGATCCAGATGATCTTTTAATGATAAAACAAACATCAGATCGTTTAAGACGACATAAATTAGCTTCGAAACGATGTCCATCATCTCCAATTCATAAGCGTAACTCATCGAAAGATATGTCAAGTACGTCACCAACAGCACCTTGTTCACCAAAATTATCTTATTCACTAACATTACCGGATACAGATAGCATACAAAATCCACTTCAACAAGTGTAAGTTACTTGACATTCAAACAAAGAAAAAACAAAGTCAAATTCTTTTTAATTTCTCGGTGAACAACATAGGAAAATAATTCATGAAATGAAATTAGTCGACCATTATTAATGCGCTGTGAAGTACAGCATTTATATAGTCCCTTGTGATTTCTACTGTGTTAGACATACGCATCGAAAGCTCGATATTTTCTATCGTGATTATCTTGAGAATGTCGGAAAATACTTATTCAAATGTAAAAAAATGAAATTTCATAATCAAATCTATGCCATCCACTGTTTGAGATCTTCAATGGCAAGTTTTTATGAAAAACTATTCCAAAAAAAATACTTTTTTTGTGAAATTAGTTTTTTTCAAGCTTCGAAACCATTGGGTAGAAGAAGAGGGTACATGTCTTTCAGGTATCTTATGGTATGAGATTCTTCGACTCGTAGCTTCCCTACAACTATGACTAACTGTAGCTCTGAACAGAAGGCCGACCTAATTCAGAGCTCTTGCGCTCTATTGCTTGAGCTCCTCATAAACACCAACTACTCCAAAGAACAGGTATATGTCATAACACAATCAGCATGTTATCGGACAGGTAATCTGAGATGTCGAAAATCATTCCATGACTGGTGGCATCCAAGTTTGAGTATAGTACCTTGTAGATACATATCAAATAAAGTGACTATTCAGCCATGACGACTAGCGTTAATTAAAACGAAGACAGCAGCAAAATGTAGTCGCAACTATTTTTTTTATCTATATTTAAGACAATCATGACTACACCTAATGAGTCGATCGAAAATATTTATTAAAAATGTGTTAATATCTATTAGAAAAGTTTTCTTAATTAAAAATTTTAAAATGGCTACTGTTCATTTTCCTTTTAACTTCGATCAGCTGATCGATCGAAAAATGAATATTGTAATCGATCATAGAAATGACTATTCGTTTCCTTTTAATAAGATATGAACATTTCCGACAATTGAAATTTTGCGTCGCATTTCTTAATCGAGTGAAATTTAAATGTCATCTAGTTTCAATAACAAATCGGAACACATGATAATATGTTTTAGCAAACGAATGAAATCAATAAAATGAATCCATCGAAAGCAACACAAATATATACTCATAAAACACAAGTTTTCTAACGCAAAGGGAAAATCTGCTAATGTTGAATTCATTTTTTTGAGTAAACGATAATTTAATACAGAATTAGAAAGAAAAATCCCATGAGAATGCATTAATATTCAATTTCTAGTATAATAAAAATCTAATGACAAGTTACACAAGCGGAAACATGAAACATTATGATAATGTATCTTATGCGACTTTTAGTACTCCACCCGTTCCATCAGCACCAATATCAAATACACATCAACGTTCATTTCTTAATAGTACATTTGTTAAAAAAGCCGTTCATGCATTTAAAGGTGGAACAGAAACAACAAGTGAACGTCGTGCAATGAAAGTTCTTGGAATTGTTTTCTTTGTTTTTCTTGTTGCTTGGCTTCCATTTTCAATATTAAATATACTTTCAGCTGTTTGTCCATCATGTGCTATAAAAGCATCATTATTAAATTTAACTAGTTGGCTTGGTTATATATCGTCAAATTTAAATCCAGTAAGCAAGAAATAGATCTTAATCTTTTGCTTCATTTTTTTTTTTAATACAAATATTTTTTTGTTTTGTTTAGATTATTTATACAGCATTTAATGTTCGATTTCGTCGTGCCTTTTTATCTATATTAACATGCCAAACAAATTATTTTTCACATAAACGTAAAGGCAATAATTTATATATATTTGTTGCTAATAATAGTCATCAACAAATACCTATGGATCATGAACAATGCTTTTTTCCCTCACGTCGCTTTCTTAATGAACGTCAATCAAAACGAAGTTATACTTCATAAACCTTTTTGAGTGTATTGAACATTTTCTTTTCTTTTTTCTTCTTTCATTAAAAACTATGATAAACACCTACCTATATGGTTACGATTATTTTCTATTGATTTGAAAGAAATCCGACTATTGTTTTTTGTGTGCATAATTACATCATATGAATTGTTATTATCTTAAAAAAAACAACAGAAGAACGTAAAAAATTGTGTCAGTCATTGAACTGGGTATTATAGTTGTAAGCAATTGTGGACGTATTTGTTTTCCACATGAATAAACATCAGCTAGACTAGTGATTGTTGAACTAGATTCTGCTGATGAATCAACGTTAATTGTACAATTTACAAATAAATACAAAAGCATCTTATATTAAAAATATTGCCACTGAAGCAACATTTCTTTATCCACGCTTTGTTCAAAAAGCACTTAATCTATGGAGTTTAAGTGAACAAGAGAAAACAAAGTAATTGTGGAGATTTTATTTAACTGAAATAGGAGGTATAATAAGGACAGATAGGTTTCCTTTTTTTGGCTGTGATTTAAATGATCAGTAAAATAGATTGAACAGTCAGTCATTTATGAGAAAAATTCTCCAACTGATAAATCAAGACTATGTACGTTATGTAGACTCGAATGAACTTTGAATGCCCTGAAAAAAGTTCGTATCCCTAGCGTATTGATGTGAAGATATTGCACTTGTATGGTTTTTAAATGAATACCTCGGTAATAGAAAAACTGATTTTAGAACTACGACTTGAAACTTTACATAGAGACACATCTGAAACGAGACTAAGTAGTTTTGGTGAATGTTTCGCTGTTTCTATCCTAAGATACAACTATGATAATAGTATGTCTTTTACATCTCTCATATCAGCCTGCAGATTTAATGTTCTTAATAACAAACAGAAGCAAATTAAGAGACCTAAGATATTCAAAAAAACACTACTTTCATTAGTATGATTAATAACTCTAGTAAGGATAATGTGTCATGAGAAGTACAGAATCGTAGCTAAACAATGAAAAGATAAATTTTGTGTCGCAATATTTCCACATATTTATTTTGTATCAGATATTTTATCGTAATTGTTCATTTTTGACCTAACTAAAAACTGTAACTATATACCATCATGATACATGAATGTTATTGATCATCCAAAAAAATAGTAATACAGAACTGGGACGACAACATCGTATATTGTTATTATAGTTAAAACTCATCTTTTTATTCTTTAACTGCAATTTTGTATTTCTTATGCAACTTTCATTAAGGCCTGTTTCAATATAAAGTTTCGAGTCGAAATTCGAAAGTCAGGTTTTGATATTACGACAGTATTCATTTTGAAAAAATATTTCAAAAGTACAGTATGTCCTCAGCATTAAGTTAAGGACACGAACTCTTTTCAGAGTACTCATAATTCACGTGGATGTATATAAATGCAAGTAATCTCAACTCAAAAGCGGTTTATCATTTGGAGGATTTTCTTCGTTAGATTATTATAAAATCAGTTAATTTAATGATTATTCAGTGAATCATCAATCCTGTGACTCCTCAGTCATATTCATTCTGATAACATAAATACTGGTCATATCATCGAATTTACTGGCTACATAGTTTGATGCCTTTTTTTTTAAGCTGTTAAGATTAATTTTGAAATTATTAGTAAACTAACATAAAGAAAATATCTTCAATTGTTGCATTCTGAGATTGCATCAATGAATTTTAGGAATGATTTTGAATTACAAATCTGACAGACAGTTGTCAACATCTTTAAAACGAAGTATGTATTTGAACAGTTAATACTAGACCCTGATTCTACTAGAAGTGAAATACTACCAATATATTCATATGGATAAATGTTTTAGTAATGTGTACGATCGTTAGCAAAATCTTTAAATTCACGATGTAAACTTAGTGTTCAGAGAAATTGTATAACGAATCTATTTGTCGAGGATTCAAGAAAGTTAATTAAATCTCATATTTAATGTTTTATGTAATATAATATTATCAGTGAGTAATATATTGTTTCGCTACTCAACTTTCTTTATAATTAATACTTTTTTTTGTTTTATCAAGGTGTGGTCTTTGTGATCGATAGTAATGAGCAAAAACGAATAACGTTTTCTACTCATGAACTGATGAATTTATCGGAAAAATTAAGCAATCGATCATCAGTATCTATTTCAATTGTTATTGCTGTTAATAAACAAAATTTTTCAAGTTAGTTGAAAAACTCTTTATCTCTGATTCTATTTTTGTTTTTAATTACTTAAACGTCATGAAAAGTCGACGAGTGTTAATAAATCTGAAAAATAAAACTTTAATTATTCTATCATTTAATTAGGGGATGGTATTATGAAAATATTTTGTTTTATTTTACAAATTATTCAAAATGGCCGATAAAATTATTTTTATTGTATAGAAATTATGCATGAAACTTTACAATGAATATCTATTAGACAAATACTTTCTTGATTTGTTCATCTCGACTTGTGATGATATGAATACAGTCATTTACTTTGTTTTCGTCTTTGTCGAAATTGACTTTATTATTTATTTTCCTTTGTTTGATCTTGTTTAATTGTTTATTACTCTCGACTTATTTTCGTAAAAATAAACCAGATTTTCATGTTGTGTTTAATTTTTCTTTTAAGGAAATTTTTATGCAATTCTTGACAAAATTTATTCCATAACTATCCGACAAATAAAGGTAATATTGTTCTTAATAAAAGAATCAAGAAGAAATAACGATTATGTTGTTATATGATATTACGTTGACATTATTATCATATAAGAATGTGACATGCTCTATAATTAATAATAGAAACTAAAACTGTTCGAATGTATAAGTCAACACGATCATTATGACATACTTTTCATTGAAGTAATATTATTCTAAGACTTAGTGGACTATAAAGAATACATAATGTTTCATTTAAAATACTTATGAATTGAAAAAGAAGAGAATGTTATTCAAAACTAGATGGTATTCGAGTTTCGACTCGAATACGAAATGCGGTGCGAAGCACACGTACCGAAAATCCGAAAAACGAATTTCGAATCGAAATCGAATAATCGCTTGAAATATCATCGAAATTCGTTCTGACATTCTACGTCA